AACCCTGTGACTGCAGTTCAATTACTCACTATCTACACACACATTACATTATTCTCTCGTCACGTTGTCACCCTCTTTTATATACCAGACTACCTATATCTAGTAAATACTAGAGCATTCATCAAGGTACGGGATAGTTCTAGAAACGTGGCGTCACACTAGTCATGTGACTCGCTGACGCAACAGTATTCTTGACTTAGGTATGTCTTTTATATTGTTACTTAGCTACTAGTTTTTGAAATTATTTTTCAATACAGTATATATTACCATTCTTTAGCATACACTTGCTTATGAAAAACTACTCAGAATAAATAAAATTTTAACAGAGTGGAATAGCTCATTCTTATTGTTTATTCCTCATGAATTTTGAAAGTATACTACATCCATAAACTTACTATTGTAAGATTTCAGCAGAGTTACATAGACTTACTGTGAACTGATTTTTACATATTAAGAACAAGTAAATCTTTTAATCTTTTTAATATATCTTTCTCAAATTCAATAATTGAAAATAGGTCATACTAAATTCATAATTTCCTTCATGTTGTCGTGAAAGAAATAGAATAAAACTGGAATTATTAGGTTCAGGATTAAGCCAATTCTATGTAAAGTGATGGATGTTTTGAGTAAGAACTTATATTTTGTGTTTCTGATTTACACATATATAGCCTAATTTCTCCCTTTCTCTTTGAATAAAAAATATAACTTTTTTGTAGTATTCAGACATGCAACACTCTTGTTATGGAATATTCATGAATCCATGGAGTTTTGATGTTAGTGAAAGAAAATTGCATGCAACTTTAATTATTACTTTAAATTAAATAGTCTTACATTAAAAAACTTCTAGTTTAAAAAAATAGGCAGTTTTATTTTTTTTAGTTTTGTTTTCTCACAATGAAATTATTTTAATTGGATTAGAAACCTATGTCAATGGTGGAAAAAAATGAAATGGTTAGAGAGACTATGTATAACTATGCAGTACACCCATCAACTGTTGTAAGGATGTTTCCTGTTTTTATGGAATATTAATAACAAGTGGCTTTCCTGCATCTTCTCAGACAAAGAAACTGTGCCAGTCTTGAATAGTAATAAATAGTTACTTTTGTTGGTAAAGAAAGGTAAAATATATGTCTCAGAAACTTGTATGTTATCAAAACTAATTTTTTCAAGAATTAAACTTCTCTGAGACTTGGTAACGTGTGCTTTGCTGTTTTAAGTATGTTCCTAATACTAGATTACTCAAATATTTATTTTCTAATTTTTGTACAGAGATGATTTGCTGTGCAGGCATCAGCAGGCTTCCATTTTTCCATGCTCAAGAGGTGAGAGCCATGGAAGGTTCCCTTCTTCCTGCTCGGATATCACATAATGGTAAAGTCAGGATTGGGCGTGCCATTGTGATTGAATGTGACAAAGTCGCTGAGAATGGAGTGATACATGTAGTGGATAGAGTCATTCAACCTCCATCTCCAGCTAGGCCATTTCATTTTGACTTTCCCAGTTCTATGTTTGGAGTATTCGTTTGAACACAGCTTTTAATCGATTATTCAATTCCTTAATAATTGTTAAATGATCAAGTGTTAGTATTCATTCACTTTCAAGGTCTTTTAGTAATTAATTCTGTGTGCTTGAAGCAGTTCTTTTGTTAATATTTAGTATGGAAGCTTAATATTCTATGCCTTGATGTGATTCTTATATTGCAAATTCAGATAAAAGTAAAAGACAATTTGAGTTTTGTTATTATAGCACTTTTAAATAAGATTGCACAGAAATATTAATCAGTTTATATCCTTGGAAGTCCTATAATTATGATAAATTACATAAAATCTAAATTTCTTATTATAAAGACTGAAGAAACTTGCCAGAAGATAAAATACTTGATTAAATTCAAAATAAGGTTAAGTTCCTAATGGCTCTTTACTCCAATACATATAAAATATGCATTTGACAAAATACTTTTAAAAAATCTTTTGAATAAAACATTAGAAAAGGAATCCATAACCCAATATGCTTATGTTTTTATACAAGTATTTTGTTTTGTATTCAATCATGTATGTAAGTTTAGCCAGCTATTATAAAGACTGCAATATGTAGACTGTGTCATTCTGTAGTAAATCTTTCTTTACATATTGTTACACCTCCGTTTGTTAGTTAACTTCCCGTATAATTTCTTCCCGATGAAACTTTAGTGACACAAGTCCTTTCTTAAATAAAACTGGTTTATTCTTTCTAAATACAACTTTGCAATACACTTAATTTCCACGGTTGCGCTATAACAAATGATATAATTCACAATGAACGTCTCACGTGCTCGACTCAACAATACGTCTCTCTGTCCGCAGTTCAATTACACATTACTTTGTTGCTGTCACGTCTTGAACAAGAATACCGAATCTAGTAACCTCTCGAGGTTTCATGAACGTTCTAGAAGTGCATGATGTGTTACTAGCGTCACATGACCTCCGCTGTCATAAAACTGCCCCTTCCTTAGTATTGTTCATCCCGAACAATAGCCACTTACATTAAACCAATAAACAATTAACAATAACTTAATTAAATGTACAGAATTTACAAACACAAAATTAAAATTTAACAAAGTCTCATGATTTTACGGGACATATCTTCTTCCATACTGGTCTCCATCTCATTTGCTTCTGCTTCATGTGGGGTTCATCTGTTTCATCAGGAAACGTCCTATCATTGGTAACAGTCACATCAGTGGTAGTAACTTCATCAAGGGCTTCACTGTTTCCCTTCTCAAAACCGAGTAGAGTTTCTTCTTCGACAGTGGCTTTTTCAGGTGACATGTCTTCAGCAGCATCATTTGTTCTGTTGTTCACTTCATCCCAACTGAAATGTTCTGTACCAAGATAACAACAAAGCCTGTTGGCATGCACCACCTTTGGCTTATCTCGCTGACCACATTTTATCTGGAAAGTCACGTCTGAGTCAATTTTCACATTTTCAGGCAACTCTTCATAAGGTGGGCATCCTGTTAACTGATCCACTGGCAACCGAAGTTCCCGACCAAACATCAACTTTGCTGGAGTGTATCCAGTGGCTTCATTCTCTGATTTAATATCTATACCTGGTTCCATTTCACCATCATCAACTCCTTCAGTTACTTTGACTTCAACTTGACGACACCTAATTAGTTCAACCTCTCTTTTAACAGTTACCAGAACTTGGCCTTTGTTGTTCCCAAACGTCATTTTATCAAAATTAATTACAAGATTTCTTGGTAGTAAGTAGTCCAATCCTAATATGCATTCGTCTTTAATGTCAGCCAAGTATACTTTGTGTCTGTCCTTTATGACCATGAGCTCAATAGTTACCCACACTGGTCCCCACAACCTCGCAGAATGACCTGTCACACCACAAAGCTTCTGTATGGCTTCTGGTACTCCTTAATCTGAATGCAGTTCATATGGCATACCAAATCTGAAGAAGAAGTCACTAATAGCTGAAGCTACAGTTGTAACTTCCTGATTTGGTATTGCATATGCCTCAGGCCACTTGGTGAAATAATCCATCACCACACAAATGTACTTGTTTCCAGCACGAGTTTGGGGCAGAGGACGAGCAATGTCGATGGCTACTCTTTCCATTGGTGCACCAACTTGATATAACTTCATTGGAGAACGTCCCTTATGCTTGGGTCCCCTTTTCGCACAACATGTACTGCATGTTCTGCACCATTCTTCAACATCTTGTCTCATACCTATCCAGTAAAATCTGTATCATAGGTGACTCAATGTTTTCTTAACTCCGAGAAGTCCTCCTGTTACAGTATCATGGGATTGAGGCAGCACAACTTCCCGTAACTTTCTCGATATAACCGTTTGCCAGGTCGTCACTTTCCCATCTGCATTTTCCCATCTCCGGAGAAGAATACCATCTTCAAGCCTCAACTGGT